TTATTGCAGTGAATCTATAAGCATTTTTCAAATTTTGCAAACATAGAAAAGTAGCGGTTGGCTTTTTCTACAGTGGCATACCATATTTGAACTTTAGAAAAACAAAGTAGCCATTAAAATTTGCCGCTGTCTTAAATCCGTTTTTTCCAAAAATTTTTGATATCGTGTTTCTTACGGACCGTATAAGTTGTTACAGCCAAAAATTTGAACATCTTCAAAATACTGATAAATTGTTCATTTCATTAGAAGAAATTTTTTTTGTTTTTCACCAGCACTCCGTCATAAGCTATCGCTTCTCAAAATGTAAAATTTGAATTTTTTCATCTAATATTTCCAAATTTCTATAAATGAAGAGAGTTCACAGCAAACGCCATGTCATTCAAAAATATAATCATTTTTCTTAACTCATGCAATTAAACCGTAAATTCGAACATTTGTCATCCTAAATATATGTAATCTTTTTAATATTTCGTATATAAACGAAGGAAATTTTAAAAATGCAGTACATAGCTAGATTGCTTTTGAAAGCACTATTTTCACTTGTTGAACCGAAAAAGTGCTACATTACAAACTATAGGTTTTATCCAACTTTATTTATTGTTAAACTTGATTTGTTTTATGAATTTCCAAAATAAAGCCGATGAATGAAAACTGAAAATAGGTTTCGCAAAGTTGAACTTTCTTTTTTTAACAGAACTAGGAGTATAGATCTCTGCAATAAATGGCTTTATTAGCAGGATTAAATTGTAAAATTTTCTGAATCAGTCTTTTTTGTGATTCTTTAGAAGGTATCTGTTTTAAAGCACACAGTCGCAAAAAAGCAGTGAGCATTTATGGACAAAATATGTGATCAGTTATTGCGAAATTTTTTAGTTTAGTGCTTCATAACTATTCAGACAGAATATCGCAATACAGTTTTTAAGATAGTGCTATGCCTTAAAGGCAATTCCCATAAAATATTCAAAGATCGATATATCAAATGTTTATAAAATGTTAATTAAATTTTTGAATTTTCCGTGAAGTTCATTCCAAACTTTATTTCTCAGTAATATTAAAAAGTAATTTAAACTTACAAGTGCAAGAGAGATAGAAATATCAACTTACTTAATTTTGTTGATTTCAAGATTTTATTAAGATTTCTAAACAAAATTATTTTTATATTTCTTACGTTTTTTCCTTTTACGTTTTGTTTTAGTCTGTGACATCACAAACATTTTCGGACCAATTTTAAATTTCAGATTGTAATTTATAGTTGCGACTACATAAGTTATTACGTATAAGTGACTTATATTTTAAGCAGAAAACAAAATGGCATAAGCAACAATATAAAGAAAAGGTGATATATGCCTTGTTTTAATCATATTACCAAATAAAGCAATCGATCTCTTCACCCGGTCTAAAAACTTTTCTTAATTCAAGTTTTGCTTTCTTTTTCGTTAGTTATGAACTTCTTTTTCTGATGTTATTGTCCATTGCTTTGCTTATAATTTTATTGTATTTTTTCAGCTTTTAATAACAAATCTTTTATATAAAAACTAAATTTATACGAAAGCTCACAAAAAGTGAAAAAAAATAAAGAATTAAAAATAAACGTGAAAAATTGTGCGACGCGACGTCTGTACCTTCAAAGCCAAAAATTAAATGAGAACAGATAAAAACCAAAACAAAAATAATGAGCGGAGAACACGCGCGAACCATGAATTACCCACCACTACCACCATCAGAACAACAAATCTACTATAAACCTAAAATCACAAAAGCGAATAAAAACACCAAAATAAATACACGCTAAATGAAATGCGCCAGCAGTGAAATATGATAAACACAAACTAACAAAATAATAACGAATAAAAAATTTATTTTGAATTATAGGCGAAATGTTGAAGTCTGCTGATGCCTTGAACTGATTTTGTTGTGTTGTTGTTTCACATCTAGAGTGAAATGACAAACAAACAAATAAACAAACTGACAAATGAAAAACTTTACTATACCAGCTTGTCCATTAACCAATTAAAGTGTGCATAAGTCGATTGGCTACGGATAGAGTTTATGAGAGTCTAAAAGAAAAAAAAAAGCACAAAAATCTTAATCAAATATAATAAAAAGTTTCCTTTTAAAAGCACCTCGGTTTGCCGTAATTTATTGATTGTTGGTTGCTATTGTTGATCTGTTATTGTTGTATCTTTCAGTTGATATCTCATTTTTTAGTGGTCTTTTATCAAAAGAAACCTAAATATTATTAGTAAGTGGCTATTTTGAGGGTTTTCCTTTGTTATGACCTGAGCTTTTTAACAATAATTTTTAATATTTTGAAACTTTCCCTGAATTTTTTGTTAAGAAATAAAGAGCACCAAAATGTAAGAAATAAAAATTATTGGGTTGGGATTATGAAAGTGTAACAGTGTAACTAAAAAAATTTTTTTTATACCTACTATTTCAATATTCTTTTGTAATTCGCCATTTTAAATTTTATATTGTAAATTGTTGCTTTTATTTGAAGCACTGCAAAAGCCAGTTGAATGAATGAGAATAAGATAAGTGCATAGGTTTAACAAAAACCAATATTTTGACAAATCATGTCTATAATGTCTTTTGACGATCTTCATTTTCTAGAACAGCCGAAAAAATCCGTATCTAAAAATTTCTCTTGATCCTGACTTTAAATAATACGTTGATAATAGAGAAATTACGCATAGAATGTTAACACGTGTCCTATAATTTTTGTACGAATATACAATTTTTTTTGAAATAATAATTTATTATTAAAGTTGTATTAATAAAGTTGGGTCAAACCAATGGTTTGTATTGTAGCATTTTTCCCTTCAATAATTCGTGAAAATACTGCTTTTAAACACAGTCTAGTATATCTATCACACTATTAAAATTGTTTTCATTCATGTACGAAACTATTTCTAGGATTGGATCATATATTTAGGATGAACGATTTATACAGTCTTTGAATTAAAGCAAAAATTAATTTAAAGAGAGGTTAACATAATGCTCGATTTTAAGAATTAGTTGGGTGGTTAAGAAAAATAATTATAATTTTTAATGTCATGGAATTTACCGTTAGCTTTTTGCGTTTATAAAAATTTTAAAAAGCTTAAGGTTTCGGAAATATAAGGCATCAAAAATTCAAATTTTGCAAATTTCAAGAGGAATTACCTCTTGAAATTAATATTACCTGGGGTCTAGAAGAATTATTAATTTAACCGGGGTCTAGGGGAAAAACAACATCTAAAATTTGAAAACAGATTTTATATAGCGGTAAATTTTAACCGCCATTTTGTTTTTTTAAAGTTCAAGAGTAGTATGCCGTGATAAAAGAAGCAACCCACTGCTTTTCTGCGTTTGTAAAGTTTAAAAAATGCATATGGTTTTACTACAGTAAGTAGTTAAAAAATGTCATTTTTAGGGTTTTGGGAGGGGGGCAGATATGTAAAAATTATGTTCTACGGAAATTAGTTTCTAGTAAAGATCTATGTACATATAAAATTTCAGGTTTATATCTTCAAGGGTGTAGAAGTTTTGTAAACAGACACACGGACAGACAGACGGACAGAGTGAAACTAATAAGCACTTTTTTTCAAAATTTTTTAATATTTTAATTTGAACAAGTGAAAATACTGTTTTTAAAAATAATCTACTATTTAATTTATTATTGTTTTTCTACGTTCAATTATACTGCACCACCGTAGAAGTATGTCGCAATAAATAGTCAAAAAATGGAGTTTTTAGGACTTTGAGGGGCTAGAGCTTTTAGAAAGCAGATAAAATTTTCTTCTACAAGAATAAGTTTCTAGCAAAGATCCTATGAATTTGTATATGAATTCCAGATTTCCAATTTAGAAGGAGCAAATGTTTTATAAGTAGACTTACGGACAGAATCAAACCAATAAGCACTTTTTTCTCTTTTTTTAAAAAAAAAAAAAAATATTTTTGCATTTGATTGAAAATTTGATTTCGGTAATAAGTAAATACTTGTACTAATTTTTAAAAATGCTTTGATGCCAATTAAGGGTTCTAGAAATTTTTTCCCGACATTTGGCACATTTCAAAGTTTGACTATCGAACTATAACTATATTTTTTTGAACAAATAACTTTTACTTTTAATTAAACCACAAAAATATTGAATTACCGTATCGAACAATTTTAAAAAAATTCATTTTCTTCATAATAGAAATTAATTACAACAACGTTATGAAAAACTTATAATTTTATAAAAATTTCAAGATATTTTTATATCCGAACGAGCGTATGTTCAGAAAATATAAAAGTTGTGATATAGAAATTTCACAAAAACGAATATATTAGTAGAGTCTATGTTTTTGATAAAACTCGTTAAAATTGCTTAGCTCCTTCTGGTAGCTGTCATACAACTACAAAAGTTATTTGGCATTATCTCAGAAATTATTCGAATTAAAATATAGAAATGTCGTGAAAATAAGTGTATTATTAGTGCTGTTATGTGTAACAAAAATCGATGAATTTCTTGACTCCTTGTCGCTGCCGTACAACACCAAAAGTAATTTGGCCACATCTTAGAAAATATTGAAAATTATTAAAATTTTGTGCACAAAAAGTACGCGGTACTGAAATTTTGCATAAATTAATATGGTAATATGGCAACTTAAAGTCATAGTCTGTCCCATAATCAACTATTCATTATGAAGGGACATTCATAACTCGCACATAGGATAACAAATTCGTACGGGTATCACAGAGTTGACACGGTCAACTCTATTTTTTCTCGTTTAAATTGAAATTAAGAAATTTTATATTGTAAATTTTAACAAAGCACGTGTGAAAACCTCTAAAATTAAAAATTTTATTTGATTGAATCCTTAATATTATTTTGTTTCAATGTTTTACTACTATTAATTTTTATTACTATCTAACCTTAACCTCAAAAACTAAATTAAAACTTTTTCAAGAGATAAAAATAACGACTAAATAATTTTAACTTTTCAATTTTATTTTTTGTTTTAATTATTTTCAGGTTGTACTAGTTCAAGGACATTATTTATCTTATTTGCCATTATGTAGTCGAAACGAGCCAGTTTTTTTAGCAACATGTACCCCAATTGCAATGCCAGAAACAAGAGAATGTGTTGTGCAGGGTGCTACAAATGTTTTTACAACAATTCATTCAATGGATATGAAAATCGTACATGTCGATAAGAAGTAAGTGTAATTCTATCATATATGTGCATATGTACATCCATACTATGTGCATACCAACAATTTTTCATAAATTTATACATATATATAGACATACGTATTTTAGAATAAAATAAACTTTCAATAAAACATTCTTACCTTTGACCCAAATTAAAAAGTCTATAGATTTAAACCAAAATAACAAAAACTTCATCAAGTGAATTTAATCTAGATAAGAAAAGAGTAAAATTCAATTTAGACCTCTTATATTTTCTACACTTACAATTTGAAAACAAAATAGAATCAGTAGCTATTTTTGTCTATTTGCGCACGTAACCTGTAAAGTAATACTATATAGAAAATGTTAATAGGCCTCAAGCAATTTCACACTGTAACATTATTACAAAGCAAGAAGTAATTTTTTTTTTCTGATATAGAAATAGAAAAAAGTATGGAAATTTTTATAATTCACAGTTTAGTATCGTTAAAATTTCGATAAGTGCAGTATGAGTGATTTAGGATGAAATCTAAGTGGTTTTACATTTGTTAACTTATGGGGCTAAATTGTCAATTGAGTGTAAAAGTTTTTAAAGATATTAAAAAACCTTGGCTGACAAAAAAGTGAATGATAAAAGTCCTTTCTTTTGAAAGCTTCAAAATTTACAAATTTTAGTATCATATTTGAGTCAAAATTTGTATAGATTATTCCATAGGTGTGAGAATAAGGGAAAAATGAATTATAACTCTCCCACTTGAAGAATTTTCCTGAATTTTTTCTGGTAAAGCATTACTTCAAGTTCCTTAGAAGTCAAAAAGACTTTTTCCAAAGATTTCAATATGAAAATAACGTTGACAATAAAGTTTTGCAATTTTTTTGTACCACAACTTTTACATCTATAGGAAGAAACTTAATTTTCTTTTTTCACAATTTTTTACTCATTCTCAATCTCATTAAGTTTCCATTTATAATATTAAACTAATTTTTTTCCGTAAAATTCATGTAAGATTTCCGTAAACTTATGTTTGACTACATGTATACCTTCTTTTAAAAATAGGTGCGAATAAGAGATTTTTAAGGAGAAGTCTGAAATTTCCATACTATACTGTAATCTGTAATATTCATTTATGTACATACGTAACACATGTGTACATTGAATTGAATATCTTATTCAGAATTGAACATTCGCTACTGCACCGCGTGATACAATTCAAGCTAACCAATTCAAACGCAATAGGGTGTTAGACATAAAACATAGTTTTAAAATTCTTTAAAGCAAACAAAAAAAAATTTACACGCTATCATACAAAAATCCATTCGACCTGTACAAAATACAAATCTGTTGAAAACGTCTTATATTAGCCTTTTCGCGATGTTCGTATCTTTGTATTCAATAACTATTCTTAAAAGAATCAACAACTTTTTAATATGCTTACGGATTAGAACAATGGTCTTTATAAATATGTTTTTGTTTTTAATCTGTTGCAATATTTTTTTTACTCAAAAGCAAAAACTTGAAATTCCTAGCATCTTTTTACGAGTTTTCTATTTCTGTTGATTTTTTTCTATAGGTAAATGAAGAAAATAGGATCTTTTCTTTACAAGGAACAAGAATTGTTAACATTGAGAAACATGTGCCTATAGGGAATTTATCGAATACTATAAATAAATGTCAAAAGTTCAATCATGAAAATGAAAGTCGGACAATATTGTGGCGTATGGTAATTTACAAATTGATTTCCAATACACCTTATACACTACATGGCTTAACACTCAATGTAGCCACGTTAATTTTTATAGAATTGTTATTCTTTTGTTGTGGATTTTACCAATTTTTTTATTACGTGAATTAAAAATCATGTTCGTACAATGTAAAAATTTTTTTTTCTAAAATAAAATAAATAAAATTCTAAAATTTTTAATTTTTAGTTGGATATATTATTGTAAAATATCCTAAGCAACATTTTCAGTGTCCCATTTTTCTTCAGTAAAATTTTTAGTTTTTCAACATGTTAATTATGAATAATTTGCACAATATCTTGTGCGTCCCAAATGTTTATAAAGTGATAAATTTTACTTAACTTCAAATTGATGCCACTACATTTTCTGTCTTGCAGTAAAAAGACATTTTAACAATGCCTAAAAATTGGGATATGTTTAAAACTCAACCACTGCGAAATATTGAAATGTAGAACAAGCAAAAACGTTTCAGTCGGTATGAACCGATTGAATTATACCCTGCACCTTTCATTGTTGTATAGCAATTACTCAAACCTGTGAAACTATTCTATAGAAACTTCACGGATATGTCTGATCTATAACTGAACACACAACTACCAAGTTTCGTGAATCTGACTTTATTATTTTTCCAAATATTTAAAATTAGCTTTTGGAGTTGTACGGCAGGTACCCGAACCTGCCAAGCAATTCCACTAAAACTTCGCTAATATATCTGATCTATAATTGGACACACAACTGCCAAGTTTCATGAATCTAACTTTATTACTTTTCCAAATATTTAAAATAAGCTTTTGGACTTGTATGGGAGCCACTCGAACCTGTCAAGCAATTCCACCAAAACTTCAGAAATATCTTTGACCTATAATTGGACACACAACTGCCAAGTTTCATGAATCTGTCTTTATTACTTTTCCAAATATTTAAAATAAGCTTTTGGATTTGTATGGGAGCCACTCGAACCTGTCAAGCAATTCCACCAAAACTTCAGAAATATTTTTGACCTATAATTGGACACACAACTGCCAAGTTTCATGAATCTGTCTTTATTACTTTTCCAAATATTTAAAATAAGCTTTTGGACTTGTATGGGAGCCACTCGAACCTGTCAAACAATTCCACCAAAACTTCAGAAATATCTTTGACCTATAATTGGACACACAACTGCCAAGTTTCATTAATCTGACTTTATTATTCTTCCAAATATTTAAAATAAGCTTTTAGACTTGTATGGGAGCTACTCGAACCTGTCAAGCAATTCCATCAAAACTTCAGAAATATATTTGACCTATAATTGGACACACGACTGCCAAGTTTCATGAATCTGACTTTATTATTTTTCCGAATATTTAAAATTAGCTTCTGGAGTTGTATGGCAGGTACCCGAACCTGTCAAGCAATTCCATCAAAACTTCAGAAATATAGTTGACCTATAATTGGACACACGACTGCCAAGTTTCATGAATCTGACTTTATTATTTTGCCGAATATAAAAAATTTGCTTTTGGAGTTGTATGGCAGCCACCCGAACCGGTGCAGCTATCTCATTAAAATTTTTAGAGCATATGTAGAATATAATTGGACACATGTATACAAAATTTTATATTTGTACCTTTATTAGTTTTTGAAATAATTAAAATAAACTCTTTGAGTTGTATGGCAGCTACCCGAACCCGTTGTCCGAATTGGTCCAATAACAATAGGGTTCGTCCTTGGCACAAAAGAAGCAACTTGTGAAAGTTTGGTGTCGATTGCATTATTCGTTTTTGAGTTATCGTGCGATCGGACGGACGGACGGACGGACGGACGGACGGACATGTCTAAATCAACGCAGAATTTTACGCTGAGCAAGAATATATATATATGTCCATACCCCAGATGACTCCTTCAAGTAGTTACAAACTCCATACCAAAGTTAATATACCCTTCACGAAGTGCAGGGTATAAAAACTAAGAACGAAGGAAAATTAATATCAAATGCTTACACAATTTAAGAGCAACACCAGCTAGCTGTTGGTTGTTTTTTTATTCAAAATTTATTTTTAAAATTTAGAAACAAGAAAATTTATTTCAATGCAAATTGTGTTGCCTGGGATATTTACACGAAAAATAAAAAATAAAAATTCGAAAATAATAAATATTTAAACATATGTAAGTCAATACTATATATGTTTGTGTGTACATTCAGTGGCTCCTCTGTAATACTCGATTGATTTTGTTATTTAATTTTAGGCACTTTAATTAATAAATTTATTAGTTGTACAATGCTAATTCACATGTTGTACTTCCAAAATGCTAAAAATATTATTTATGGTAAAATAATATCAGGTGCACTTTTTAACTTTAAACATTAGTTGCTAAAAAATACGGAGTTAAGTTAAGCTTTTCACTTGTTTTATTTCAACAAAAAAAGGTAATTAATGATAGTTTTATCTTACTATGTCCCTTTTTCGGGGTTGCGCATTATGCGACTGTTGTAAGATTTTCTTTATATTTCAAACTTCTAGTTACAAGCAACTTACCCCCAAACATAAATCTTCAATAAATATGACAATTTTGATCAAAAATAAAATTTTGATTACCTGACATAACCTTGTAAAATCAAAGCCATCCAGATTCGAATTTGTACATTTCCATAAGACTTACAAGTTTTCATGGGACTCTTTTTGAAAAACAATTTTTCTTTTTTTTATAGTGGTGAATTTCATTTAGGCTACAATAAAACTGAAATTCAAGGACTCTCTTGGTATAACTTATTACATTGGGAGAATGTGAGAGAAGCACAGAATAAGCATAGATTAAGTGAGTGTAATTTTATTTAATAACGATAAAAACCATAATGTCTAATTTACTTTTTTTTTTAAATTTAATTTTTCTTACTAGTTACACAATCTGAACAAGACAGGTCTTGTATCCTTTTAGTACAAATGCAACATAGACAAGGTGATTTTATTTGGGTGCATGTTGTTTTACAAGTACGTGATGGTCAAGATTCAAATCAACAACCAGTCATTGTTTGTACCAATCAAGTATTAAAGTAAGTTAATTTTATTTTTAAAAATTATACATAAAACTTTATGCTTTACCATAAACCAAAATAAATCTAATTATTCAATCCGACTTATGAGCTTTGACTACTTTGCCGGTTTTTACTTTGAAAACTTCTAGTTAACAATAAAATCGTAGTTTACAATTAATTTTTTTAAATATGAACCTAATGAAAGCTTCATTGACTTGATGATCATGATATTACTTCTAGACACCAACACCGCCGGCAAATACTTTTGCTTCTTATAGTCGCTGCTTAAAGTTGACAAACGCAAATAAATGTTAATTTGCAAAAACCTGTTTACAATATTAAACCTTTTGCTTCCATTGAAAATAATTTGCTTTTAACTTATAATGAGCACATAAATTAAAAAAATTTTAAATTTAAATTGGGAATTGTATAAGTGGCAGCATAAACTAATTTCTTCTGTTTTGGAATCTTTAAACTTTTATTTTTATTTATTTTTGTTCTATTTTCTCCTTCTCTTCAAAATTTTTTTACCTATCTCAAGATTTGTAATTTAGAAAGAAAATGCTAGTGCAATTAATATTGAATACATATTGAAAACTGAGACATAAAAATGTTTTCCAACTATCAAACTAGAATGAGCGCTTTAAATTCACAACTTTTCCTTTAAATTTTGCAATTTATATTTTTCATTTTTATTTTTATGTAAAACAACTTGATGTCACTTTGTCAAAACATTTAACATACAAAAATGTAAAACAAAGATATTCAATTGACTCGTAACTCATACTTGCATATATTTGTACATATAAAACATACATGCATAAATGGCACACAACTATAGCGAATATAAATTTAAAAAAGAACCGATTCAACTTTAAGGAAAGAAGAACACTAGTCAAACAGATGTTTTAAGTCAAATATTATGATGATGGTAATGCTCTTGATCACTAATCTTTTACTATAGTTCCATGCCTGAGTTAGCTTTTTTTTATATTTCTGAACTATTGAAAAATAACCTGTGAGTTTCCATTCCTTTTCAATTTTTTGTTTTTGTGTTTCAAGTGTCGTTAACTTGCCAAAACAAATTTAAAAAATCATTCAAATCGACATTAACGACGCATTGGATTTGTATTTTACATCGGCTTAAAATACAAGATTATAAACGATACGATCAGAATTTATATTCACATATTATAGACCCATTAAATTGCTTTTGCAATCTTTTGTCTTACATATATATTTACACATTTACATACGTATATCGTATGCATATAATATATGGAAGTATTCTGTCGGGAATATTATTTTAATACCTACATTTCCCACCGTTTAAAGAGAGTGCGTCTCTTAAGTTGTCATTGTGCTATTCGTCATCATCTCACTTTATATGGCGATGAAAATTTGTTCTTTTTTTTGCTTTTTCGTATTAGTGTTTCAATATTCTTTTCGCTATATTTTATATGGCAATTTTCCCTTTGGCGTAAGATTTATAAGAGCGTTTTAAATGGTTAAAAAATTATTGTTTACAAATGCCGCCACAAGCGCAACAGGAACGCCATAATATGTGATTTTAAAAGAAATATTAAACAGCATAAAAGAAATAAAAAAAAATAATAAATTAGAGAAAATAGTAAATAGAAAAAACTTTGAAAAAAGAAAAATGTTTTATTTACGTAGTTAGAATTTTCATTTTTTCTATTCTTGCTATCGAATGTTTCAACTGTTTTTCGTATTTTTCAAACAAATTTGTTCTGTACGTACGTCCATCCATCTGGTGCATTTGGTTAAAAAACTTTAACAAATTTTAAGAACCTTTTAAGAAAGCAGAAATTTAATACACAGATTCATCTTTACGAGAAACCTATTGCTAAAAAAATTGTCAACCCTCTTTCCTCCCCTTTAACTAAAAATTTCATTTTAAAACAATTTATTTTATGGAAACTGTGCAAGTCTTTACCAAAATCCACAAACGTGTGAAAATAGCAACTGAGAATGTCAAGAAGCACAGTCAGACATTAAAATGGAAAAATTGTTGATGATATTAGCACTAGTAATCGTTGGAAAAAAAGAAAGTTTTCCAAAGTTTTTAGCACTTGAAATTTTGAAAAAGTGCTTGTTATCTTCATTCTGGTCCGTGGACATGTTCACAAAGGTATGCAATTTTTGAAATAGTTTCGTGTATGAATGAAAGTAGTTTTAATAGCGAAGTAGGTATACATAGATTCCTTTTTTAAAACCACTATTTTCCCTTGTTGAAGGAAAAAGTGCTACATTACAAACTATTGGTTTGACCCAACTTTATTTTAAACATTTGAAAAATTTGTAGAAAATAATAAATGGTTTATTCTGCTTTAAAACAGTAAATTTCAACTTTTGCCTTCTTATTTTTTCCAAAATTTCTATAGAAGAAAAAAATTCAACTTTCTCTTCAACAAAAAACATAATTATTTGTTTTTACTCTCCTAATTAACGTTCGCATTCGATCATTATGCTCTTAAACTTCTTTTAATTTTGGTTTTTTCCCGAGAAGTATGCAAAGACTTTTTTTCAAGATTCAATTTTGGTGTCATAATGAGAATAATTGAGTAACGATTGATTTTGGAAGAAGTATTTTATTTTGTTTGAAAGAAATGTGCTGATCAAAATTTAAAAACATACTTTTAAGTAAATATTTAATAAAAAATGAGTGTGTGAGTGTAAAAACTAATTTATAAATTTATAAAAGTATAATTTTGTTTAACTTAATAAATAACTCTGATTATTTCTTAAGTTAAACACAATTACAATCTGACATAACAAAATATAACAAAAATCGTTTAAAACTACAATATCTGACAGTAAAGGCTCGGCTTAACCTATCAAAAATAAATCAAATCTTATGTAATTGCACTATACGAGCACTGGTAGCCTAAATCCAGTAGTAAAATATGAACAGTCTCTGCGAATTGTTTTTTTCTTTTGAGTTTCGCAAAGGGCATTAGTAAAAGTTTAGTCGATATTAGATTAGATTAGCATATACTAGGAAGTAAATTTTGAAGACATCATTGTTTTGCAATAAATTTCCTTTTAGCTTTAAACTCTCTGCTCTTATTAAATTATCCGAACACATATCGGGAAAGAAAAAGGCTCACCTGGGTGTGCAAAACCCAAATATTATCAACAAATTTTACCTTAAAAAGTATACGCAAATCATTAAGAACAAAGAAACAACAAGAATTATGCAAAATGAATTAAAACTAAAATTCGTGTGTGTTTTCCATTTGTTTTTTCGCTACAATTATTATTATTCTTACATGTTACAGCGTAGATATGTAATTCTATACTAAATTGCACAGAATGAAATAAATGTATTATATACGATGTCTTTGAGTAATCTAACCAAAAACATCATGATGAAAGTCGTAAATTCGGATTGCTGCTGTTGCACTTTTACACTTTAATACGGATAAAAAGAGAAATGTTTTTCTTTTTTTTTTTGTGTACTCTCATTTATTTTCAAAATTACAAGACTAACGACAACACAAATCTATGATAAAGAAAGTTAAATTGGAAAACTGAACGTGAAATTTTGAAATAGAAGCAAATTATAGAGACAACAATGAAACCAAAATGCAATAAACAAAAATTATATAGAAAAAAAAGGTTAGGATAAGAAGCTGTTGACAATTTTGCTATATGGCGCAATGAATTCACACTATGTATAAAAACTTTAATTCAATTTGACTATCTTTTTTGGTTAACAACATTAAATTCACTTAAAAATGACACACTCATAAAGAGGGAAATAAATTGCATAAGTACTTATTACACGTATTCACCGCCAGATTATTTATTTTCTTCTTCTTGTTTTTTCTTTTTCGTTTTGATTTTAGTAGATGTGCGCTCTCTAATATTCTTAAATAAGAAACATTCGGCATTTATAATAATTTGTTGTTGAATTAAAGAAGTGATACAGATTTTGTGATTTGTTGTATGTAGTTATTATTGTTGTGCTTGCTGTACGAGTACTCAACTTAAAAAATGAAAATCAACAAAATTGTTTTCATTTATTTATTTTAACCTTCCGTTTTTTTTAATATTTATCACTATTAACTTAAGTGGCAGTTAAAATAAATGCTTGTATATGTACATACATACATATACACACATAATTTTATTCTACAGCTATTTGCAACAATTTTATTTTGCATTTTTTTGAAGTTGCTTAATTCTTTAATAAAAAAAAGAGCTATTATTTTTTCAGAGTCGGCATCTAAATAATCAATTTAATTTATATTAATATATTCATGGATTAGTGTGGCAGTATCTTTAAAGTACCTTACGAGTATATGAACAAAAAATGAAGGCTTTGTAGAAATTTATGGTGCTTCCGAAGGGAAAAAAACAAGCTATTTAATAAATTTTGCTCAAGCGTTTTAATTGATACTACTTCAAAATCTACAAAAACAGTTACAGTTACTGAGCATTAAAAAGCTGAAATTTAATTAACAATTTTTAACTGAAGACCACAATTATTGATTAATTGAGGTCTTCAGAGAACTACTTAATTTATATTAAGTTTCAATAAACACAAAACGCGCAAAGAACTATTGAGCACCCGGAAATATTAGTCGAAAAAAAGCTTACTCTCAAATTGCAATAAAAATTTAAGGAGTTTTAGAAAATAAACTACGGAATTTCTTAACGTGCAAGTTTCAAAACCTAAACAATTTTTGAAGTAAAGTTTCAGAAATTTAATAAATGCATGACACGGGCATCTATTAAGAGTAAATTGAAAAATCTAAAATATAAACAAATTTTCATGTGTGATACCTGCTTAATTACAGTTACTAACGACTTTCAAGAATTTTAAAGATGAATAAGAAAAAGCAAGGTAAAACAGAAGTAAAATATTTATTTGCTTTTCGTAATCTCAAATCATTTCTATATCTATAGTCACTCATTCACAAATTAAACTGAATACAATTTAAGAAATGCAGAATTGAGTAAGGCTGTTGTTATTATTCTCCGCTTCTTCA